AGCTCGCGCTTGCTAACATGAAAATTATTTGTCTCGAAAATGTATACTTACACTGTGATGAAAAATACTGTCAGGCTCCAGTTGCTCAACCTCTGGTACTTTGATAGTATTTTTCCTCAAGTCGATAACAATGTTATCTGGAACCTTCTTTGCTTTACTTGAGCTGAACTGCTTTGGAGTGAAATTATCTTCATTTATTTCTTCTAGTACCGTATTATCTACAATTACACAATCTGGAGAGTTTTTTTCAGGCTTACAACTACTTTCTTTAGTCGAGCTCTCAACTTCTTTCTTAGATTTATCAATTTTGTTCTTACTGATCTTCACTGGCTCAGGACTTTCAGAGCTTGAACTAGAACTGGAACGTTTTTTAGGTTTACTAACAAACTCTCTTATATAAGATTTTGATCTTGAACGATGGGATCTGTAGCGATCTCTTGACTTTGATCGAGATCGGCGATGCCGATCTCTACGACGATCTCTAGAGTCTGACCTGTGAGACTTTGATCTAGAAGAGTGGTAGTTTGAAGTGCTTTTACTTCTGGATCTCCTGAAATGTGGAAGCAATAAGCGGGGCAAATACGGGAGATTAACATTTAACATTTAAATAAAAACAATCACAAACCTAGTTCTACCATATCTATCCCTAGACCTGTGTCTGCTGCGACTTCTCGATCGGCGGCTGGACTTTTTCTCCCTTCTACGCTTTGTTCTAGATTCTGACGAATCTGAAGATGATGATCTACGGACAGTTCTAATTCTGCATTTTGAACTCAACACATGTGCTAACTTTTGATCAAATACTTCCTCTGTCTTACCTACGCTTGCATCTACTACTTTTGCTTGATTTTTTATCCCAACGTTTTTCATTTTCAGAGTCACTAGAATACTTACCCATCCTGTGAATTTTTATCTTATGAGAACAGAATAAAATATGCGACTTTCTTCAACATACCTAATAACTAAATCTGAGAATAAAAACTAAAGAGTTCTACCATAACAAAAACAAGACTGTTTGTAAAACCCTCTCGATCAGATAATTTTATAAAATACCACAGGCCACAGAATGACCATTCAGTTATGACACTTCAAACATCAACTGTCAGCTAAGGAATAATAGCATAATAGTTTCTATGAACTCATACTTTAAGGCTAGTTCATGTTGGAACGAACATCGCATAAAAAGTGCGATTTGAAATGGCGTCGTGTTTATCGTAAAAAAGTTGAAAAAATTGAACCTTTTTTGCGATTTCCGCAAAATGTTATACGTCAACATACAAAATAGTTATATTGCTTTGACTCTCGTTTTTTAAGCCCATACATCGAAATTGAATCCAAAATGGACGAATGTGTCAGGTTGTTCAAATTATATCAACTTTACCGTAAAAAGCTTCATTGAGAAAACCCTGTCTTCATAGTGGGAAATATTTTCAAAAATAGAAGAAAATGGCCAATCTTGTGGCTGAAATAAATGAGAATTAGTGATCCAGAGAAATATTTCAACTAGTTCAGGCTCACTCTCTCATTATTCAATAAATTATTGAATTTGGTTGGCCCCTCATTAAAGAAAACTCATTTTGCAAAAGAACCCCTCGCCCCTGCAGGCAGTAACGTTAAGATNTATTCTAGCCAATAGAAATTAAACAAGTTGAAATGAGGTGATAACGACAACGAACTTCATAAAGTATTGTCAACAAAACATACATTTCTAAATTCAACCAAGTATTGCAAGATGAACATAAATAAATCATGAACTAGATTCTCAATAATGAAACAAGGAAATAATAATGATAATAATAAGAAATTACATTAGGTACAACATTATTTACAATGATAAATTTAATTCCCACGTGTTATCAACAGAAAAAATAATTGGAAATCATTCAAGTGAACTCATTTCAACTATTCTTAGTGATATTTTCAATAGATGGAATATTTCGAATAAAATAATTACCATTGTTTCCGACAACGGATCAAATATAAAATGTGCAATCAACGATTTCCTATAAAAACATCACCATCTCCGTGTGTTGCGCATACACTGAATTTGAGTGTCACTGATGAATTGAACAGTGGCCCAAATTTTCAAACTATTGTTAAAAAATGTAAAACAATAGTAGGCCATTTCAGTCATAGTGTTTTAGCGTGCAATAAACTGAAGTCAGTCCAAGAACAAATGGAATTTCCAGTTTTGAAGCTGAAACAAGACGTTTCCACCAAATGGAATTCCACACTGATCATGTTAGAAAGACTAGTAAAAGTGAAGGACGCCTTTTCGATGACCATCATTAGCATTACTAAGGCACCAGAGTTCTTGGATGCTGATGAGTGGGCTGTTGTCGAAGATAGCATTTTTCTACTCAAGCCTTTAGAAGTTATGACAGTAACTTTATCTGGAGACACGTATCCAACGATTTCTATAGTTATTCCTCTTGTAAGGGGTCTTCAGCACTCCCTCGTAAATTGGAAATCAAAAACAGATATTTGTGATACTCTGAGGACACCATCACTCGTCGTCTTGGAATTATAGAATGCAACAAAATTATATCAAAAGCGAAATTTTTAGATCCGAGGTTTAAGAAATTAGCATTTGGTAATGATATTAATGCCAACAATGCTCAAAAATGGGTAAGTGAAGAACTTACAAGTCTAATTAATGAAAGGAATCAGGCACCAACTGGTGTAGATGAGGCTGAAGTCCAGCCAAAACCACAGGACCTTGAAAAAAACAGAAATTGCGACATTTGGTCGCATTTTGATAACAAAGTGGCGAAAGCAAAGTCAATTACGACACCTCTAACTATTGTGACGTTGATAATACGGCAGTACCTTGAAATGCCTTATTATGAGAGAAAATGTAATCCAATGGCTGTTAAGTATTTATCCATACCTGCCACATCGGTCCTATCAGAACGGATATTTTCTAAAACAGGACAATTAACAAATTTGAGAAGAAATCGTCTATCTCCCAAACATCTTGATGAAATTATTTTTTTAAATAGTAGGTATATGAATTGTACCTTATTATATTGAACTGTGATTTTGATGTGATTTTATCAGCCTTAGAATGTTTTATTTTATTTTTATATTGAGAATTTATTTAATTTGATAAGTTTCATTTGTTAATCTATTGTTGATTCTTTTCATCCTGTTTCATGTTTGAACTTTTTATTAAAGTTTAGTTTCAATATTTTTGAAAATATCTTAATGCCGACCCTGTTCATCCTTCCTGAATTATTATTCATATATTTCTCTATCCATCCTCGATTGGCTCTGGAACTATCAGTGGTTGACTAATATATATGACAAATAACCAAAGTAGTTGCAGTTCTAATACCATTTACAACATAACCGCTTTAAAAATTACTGTCGTTTTTACGTCAGCCGCCAATAGTATCAAACGTGTGATCTGTGATGGCGAATAATATAAAAATTAATTCCAATTATCCTGATAATCGATTCGATATCTCGAATTATTATGATAATCGAATTATCGATTATTTTTAATTCGAATTAGCCCATCACTAGTAAATGGGTAATTAAATTTGTAACTCTTATCGAGAAAAAAAACTGTGTTCATAACCTAAATTTGTTGGATTAGTTTGGATTCAAAAGACTTATGAATGTATAGAATCATTAAGTATTGATTCAAAGTCAAATACCTAAAGTCTATCCAAATCCAAGATAGAGTAAAACAAAACAAAACCGAAGCGTGATGTTCACGAGATCGTCCAGTGTCAGATGGAAAGGGCAGCGTTCATTGGTGAATTCGCCTTCTGAGTCCAGCCAGGAAACGATCCAAAAAAAGACATTTGAGTGTTGAGATGAAAGAAATGATTTTAAATGTGATCAAAAAAGAGATGGAAGAAATTGAGACATCGACTGTCGACGAAGTCGTATCGAAAGTTTCCGATAAAATGGGAGTGTGTTGCGCTTCGATTTACAATGTTTTACGGGAATATAAACAAAATCATTCATTTTCCAAACCGAATAGAAATCAGAATCGTCAAACCATTATAAAATCAATAGATGATGCTGATAAGCATGCAATCAGGAGGAAAGTGCATGAGTACTTTTTCAGAAATGAAATACCCACGATAGACAAAGTACTCACAGAAATAAATGAAGATGTTTTATTGCCAAGTTTTAAGCAGTTTTAATGCTCGTTTGCCCGTGTTCAATAACTTTTAAACAAATGTTAAGTTGGGCCTCCTCAGCATATTTACTTGGAGTGTGCTTTTTCTTAAATTGATTTGCTACGGATCTCGTTTCTCTGAATTTCGACATTATCCTTGACACAGTAGTATGTTGAACATTTTTTTCTGGATGCCGTTCATTAAAAATGTTAGCTACTTGACGGTATGGTGTATTCTCACCACATATTAAAACTATTTCTGTTCTTTCCTGAAGAGACTTTATTGCAACAATAACTGTTAAAAATTTGACAAGTAAATCAACAACTTGAAACTACCATAGCATGCATTTTGTTTGTCAAGACCTACTTAAAAATTTTATTCAAAGTGATTAAGCATCCTTACCGCCCTAGTTTTAAATTTGACAAACACTGAACGTCAGTGGGTCGCAGTTGGCCGCATCATTTTAAGTTAAATTTAAAGCACAAACAAGTGCCCAAGTTAAACTTCATTAAAACTTTTCGAAAAAAAAGTTTCCCTCTTCCTGCTTCTAGTAGTGTAAATATGCCTAATTTTGTCTAGGGCTGGCAATATACTTTTTCCAGTCAGGTAGTACTTATGTATTCGATGCATACACCTAGTTGCCTTTGAGTATGTTTGGATGCTAAACGTAGTCACAATTTGCTGTTTAGCTCGGATCAGTTGTTTGAGGTAAACACGGGTAAATATGCATAATCTGAATTTCAGAAAGGGGTCATACACGACAAATTGAATGGTGACTTTTGTTACTACACATTTTTCGGTCAGCGCATAGTTCACGGTTGTCAAATTGTTGGATATTTCTGTCAATATATGTTGATTGTGCAAACCTGCCTTTAGTTAGCATTCCTTTTGTATTGTATACCTGGAACACCGTATAACAGTGTACTTAATCTTAGACAAGGAACTCTTTTACCTAATCTAAGTACTTAATATACGGTGCCTGAGATTAGTTTCAGTTGTCAGTGGGTGACACTTGAAATCTGACAGATAATAAGTGGTTAGTGTTTCCCTCAGAGTATCAAAAGACAATAGAGATGCTTTTTGCATCCTTACATTGAAGGCAGCATAACTTTGTTTGCTTAAGGGAAGTTGGACCATAAAACAGTGGTGGTTGGTTTAGTTGATAATCGAGGGATATTATACATTTATAAAATAAATCATTTCAGGTGAAAATGTCATCTGTTCAAATAGTTCCTACAGGAAATATAATTTATTTTTATTGTTAATTATTATGGAAATGGGGCCAGTTTTTGTACCACCTACTAGATTTTTTTTATGTATGGCTTTATAATAAAGCGCGTGGTTTAGTGGGTTAAAATTAAATTATTTCAAATGAACTAATTCATAACAATAATAAATGTTAATTTCAAAAGTAATGAGCTTTGCTTCATAAAATCAAATGAAGAAATTTATGATTTATTCTCAGATTTGATAAACAAGCGGTACAGTTTGTGAGGCCCGATATAAAGAATGTTCGATTAGAAGTCATGAATATTTATAATTACGATTGAGGTTTAATGTTATTATGTGATTTCACTCAAAATTGGTATATATGGTTCTTTGTGGACCGACATTATGAAAGGGGATATTTTTGATGTTTTTAATGATATTTTTTTTGATCTTATTCTTATAAATAAAGTTTTTGAAACTAGGTTTATATTATTTCATTATTTGACATATCCCAACCAAAAAAAAGGTTAAAAAAATGACAACCGTCATTTCTTTTTGAATATTGTCTCGGGAGCCTCGTGCAAAGAAACAAAAACCAAGACGAAAATCATATTCTTTGTGTGACGTAAGTTAGTTGTTAAGTGAGCAATAACAGACTTAACACCGGTTGCACAAGAATAACTATTTAGTATACAAACTGAACATTGAGCAGAAAGCTTTTTAATCTGTTGTTAGCAGAATGAATATGACCTATTGCACACATATGAAAAACATATTTTTCATTTTCGAATACAGTTTTTTTCATTTACATTACTGATTTTTCGTAATTATAGAATTCGTCAGCATGAATTATTGGAAAAAAACATAACATCGGTCCACAAAGACCCAATTTTGAATGAAATCACATAATAATATCAAACCACCTCAATCGTAATTATAACTGTTCATGGTTTCTAATGGAAAATTATTTATATCGGACCTCACAAACCGTACCGCTTGTTCATCAAATCTGAGAATAAATCACAATTTTCTTCATCTGATTATATAAATCAAAGTTCATTACTTTTGAAAGTAACATTTATTATTCTTATGCATTAGTTCATTTGAAATAATTTAATTTTATGCCAGTAAACCACGCGCTTTATTATAAAGCCATAACTAAATAAAAATCTATTAGGTGGTAGAAAAACTGGCCCCATTTCCATAATCATTAATAATAAATCAGATTTCCTGTAGGAACTATTTGAACAGAATACATTTTCCCCTGAAATGATTTATTTCACAAATATATAATATCCCTCCGTTTATCAACTAAACCAACCGCCACTGTTTTATGGTCCAACTTACTTCAAATGTAAACAAACTCTCCATAACCTCTTATTACCCGCCATCCCCCTTCGCCAACAAGTTGTACAGAAAAGGATACCGATTTCAAAATACATGTATTGTATTGGAATAGGCATGGTAACTCTATGTCTTATTATTACTCTGAGATTTTTACCGTGCCTTTCCTAATCTGTAACATAACCACAGATTAAATAATATAACCACAAATTTTGTTTATGGTTTTTACCATGTTCTTACAATAAAATGAAGTTGAACCAAAAAAGTAGTTCAAATGATTGAAAATTTCTGTAAAAAAATGGCATAATACAAGACTCATGAAAGTTGAATTATTTACATGATATTGGTATTTTTCTAATTACAATTATAAAATGAAAAATATCCCTCTACACAGATTTACTACATCTCTTGATGGCTTCAGAAAAATCCCTGAAACTATTAAAAACTTCCGCTGGCACTCTTCTGCCAAAGTGGTTCAGTCAGTCGATATTGATAAAATAAGAAACATTGGCATCTTAGCTCACATCGATGCAGGGAAGACTACAACCACGGAACGCATGTTGTATTACTCAGGATTAATTCAGCAAATGGGAGAAGTACATCACGGTAATACTGTAACGGATTATTTGGCACAAGAACGTGAACGTGGTATCACAATCACATCAGCCGCTATAACATTTTATTGGAAGAAGAATCAGTTTAATCTCATTGATACCCCTGGACATATCGATTTCACTATGGAAGTAGAAAAAACGTTGAATGTGTTGGATGGAGCTATAGTGGTGTTAGACGGGTCTGCAGGAGTCGAAGCACAAACGCTAACAGTCTGGAGACAGGCCGATAGAAATGAAATACCTAGAATTATATACGTTAATAAAATGGATAGAGTCGATTCAGATATATTGATGTGTTGTGACACTATTGATAAAAAGTTGGAGACAACAAGTTTATTACTTCAGTTGCCAGTTTTGGAAAATGGTAAACTGTCTGGGATAATTGACGTTTTAACAATGGAGTTATTGAATTATGGGTCTGCTAAAGACAAGCGTGTAAACAAAATTCCTCTGACTGAAAAGCAACATTGTAAGTATTGGAATGATGCTAGTCTGGCTCGCTCGCAACTTATTGAAAAACTTACCGACTTTGATGACGAGTTAGCTAATCAAGTCATTTCTTGTGAATCACTTGACTGTATATCGACCCCAGATTTGATCAAATCGTTGAAATCAGTAACAAGAAACCAGGTAGCTACTCCCGTGTTACTAGGCAGCTCCTACAAAAATATTGGGGTACAGTCACTAATGGACGCTGTTATATTATATCTCCCTTCACCACATAAAAGATATGAACAATTTTCAGCTTTCGAAGACAATTTGTGTGCCCGAGCATTTAAAGTGATACATGATAAACAAAGGGGACCTTTAGTTTTCTTCAGAATATACAACGGTTCTTTAAAAAAAGGTCAGAAGTTGTACAGCATAAAACAGGACAGTTCGGAACAAATGGGAAAATTATACATTGCCTATGCAGATGACTTCGAAGAGGTCGAGGAGGTAACTAATGGAAATATTGCAGTGGTAAGTGGCCTGAAAAAAATTGTATCAGGGGATTTGGTGACAAATTCCAGTTCTTCCAGTCAGAAGGCTAAAAATAATATTGTTAAAAAATATAAAGGGAGTGATGTTGAAACTTTACTAGGGTTGAATGTAACTATTCCCGAACCGGTGTTTTTTTGTTCTATCGAACCACCTAGTCTTTCTGTTCAAAGTGCTTTAGAGCAAGCCTTATTCGAGCTACAACGTGAGGATCCAAGTTTGAGAGTGAATCATGATCCTGAAACTGGACAGACTGTATTGGCGGGAATGGGAGAACTGCATTTGGACATTATTCGAGATAAAATTCTCAGAGATTATAAAATAGAGGTGAGTGAATAAGACTACAGAAGATTTAGATTTATTCATTTAAGTAGAACAATCCTGTTTTACAAAGAATAAAATAGTGAACATACCTATTTTACAATAAATATAACATCATAAATGTAATTATAAATATATATAATAAATTTGGGTATAAATATACAGTATAGAATAGAATACAGTATAGAATAATGGTGGAATATTTTTTTTATGATAATACATAATCAAATTATGTTTGAATTCTGCTATACTTTTTGAGTCTTCAACATATTGTGGTAAACTATTGTATTGAATGAATCCTTTAAAAA